CGCGTAACAGGCATAACGACAGACTATCTTCCGTGATTCGGCATCGATCACATCCTACACGACGGCTATATCCCGGATGTACCGTGGAACCTAATATTTTAAGGGGTTTTACGAATTCTCACCATCGAACGTTGGAAAACGCCGACACCGGTCCCAACGTCGTTCGACGTAGCAAATCTACACCGATGCAATGAGAATCTAGGCGGGATATTGTTACGGGGATAATGCGATTCGGCGGAAAGCTACAGGAATGGTTATACATAAATATTAATGGGCAGAAAGCGAGCCGCGTGACGTTCCGTAATGCCGCATTCAGATTGATATCGACCGCTTTCGATTCTCGTTAGTCATCGTGGTTTGTTCCGTGTAGTGTGCTTTCCAGACACCACCGTAACACGTAAATGTACGTTTCAATGAGTCACTGATACGTGGAACTGTTTACCTGCAAACGGACACGTGCCGGAGCTGACCAACAACGGTGTTTCATACGATTCGCGTCTGTTAAAAGTATCGCGTGATCTCGTCGCAGGATCCAGTCGAATCGAGCGCAAAACCGGGCTAGCGACAGTTGCAAAATGCAAGCACGAAACGTATACTGATTTTCGAAATCGAAGAGGTCGATCAAAATTAGCTTGAAGGCTGGTAAACGCGCGTCCGAGGACACGCACGAGACCAAGGCGTCCGAAATCTTAATTCTCAACGACTCGAGACAAGACGTTCCACCGGAAATATCATATTCCTGACCCGCATACGATCTACTTATCTCTCGTAGAAAATCAACGATTCCCGTCGATTACGCGTCCCTATAAAGCCAATGGTTAGAGACGATTAAAGGTGGCTGTAGTTGATTAAAATATATAGAAGATCGCATTGTTGCATTCAGCTAGTCGACGGTGGAAACGTGTTGTGACACTCGGCTGATAGGAAATAGGATTTATCTAAACGGCTATTTAAGCCGTGGCATGCGTATCCTGTATGCGTGTGACGAACGTAAACGGCTTTAGTAATAATTTCGTTCGACTCGATCGAGACGATAGACGCGTAAGAGAGCAGTGGCTCGTTCAAGGACCACCTACGGGCTCTCATAAATTTTCGCGCCAATTCTCGACAATTACGTCTCTTCTATAACTCTGTTATTTGTGGTCCGCGAGTGCCGAGCCTGACGCATTTTATCCACACGAGGGATACGTTAGATATCGATCTGGCTTTTCTCAACCGCACTCGTTCTCGCCGAAATCGAGATACGCGATCGAAGGGAAAGGGAGCCGGTTAATGTGCTCTGCACACACAGCCATTTACTCGTATTCGACGCTGGATGACGAAGGGTCTGGTTTAATGGTAGTTACGACGCGTAGTAGCGACGAACGCGTTCGTCCAACACATACGTAGCTGGAAAATTTTGCTCGGAATACGAATCGAATCGGACACGCGACTCGAAACCTCGTCACCGGACTCGTGAGATAAGAAGCACGTGACTCGACCTTTTTACACATTGCTGTATCGAAGAGATCGCTTTTGGAACGCCGCACCGTGCCGTTGCTAATTGAATCGCGCCCACCCAGTGAATCGAATCGAATCGAATTACGAACGAGCCGCCTCCTATGTCTATTAGCAGCGTATAAAAGGCAGCTGTTCGTGCGGCGCGACGACACTCGAAATGAGTGATAAAAAAAAGGGAAATAGCAACAAAGTGGTGGAATTGTTTAGTTTAGAGAGGCAAAAGCGGAGCTCGGGTAAAGAATAAATACAGACTGGCCAGCAAAAGTTTCGAGTGGCCGGCAGAGCACTCGAGCATACAGCGACCGCGTTCAATTGTACCTAACCGAGTGGATAAAGTTTGACGAGATTCTCGCTGGCAAATAAACGCGACCATGCTACGAGGATTCGACGTTCGAGCGACCAATCGAATCGACGTACGATCTCCAACAGATTTTACACCCAGCTTGAGGAAACGAGCCTATTCCTCTGCCGTTTTGTCCGCTTTCTTGCTCACGACAACGATCTCAAAGCCCGGTCCGTGTTTTTGCGAGCAATCCGCGGTCCTCAATTCCCAATTCGTACATTCACGTGGGTGCGTGTGGTCGACCTCGGTGAAAAAGAGAGGGTGTAGGTATCCGACGCGAGGGAAACGCGAGGATTCCGAAAATAGATTCGCTGCGAACCGTGCGGCGACATTAGAAACACCCTGCGTATAATGCCTCTCTCTACCCGGCTACAGTAACGGCTTGGCCTCTCTCATCCACGGCCCTGGCGCTTTCATTATGAAAAGAAAGCCGAACGTAAATACACGTGGACACAAAGGTGCCACCTACGCATCGATTTTGTAAATTACAAACATCGTTCGTTCGACCTTCGCGTTTAATTCGTGCGTTAAACGCGTGTTTCTTGAACTCCGCGGCTAGAGAAGACACGGTTCTCCATCGGTGTTTGTTTTCTCATCCGACTCATACCGAGGCGCAAGTATGTGTTTTCACAGAATCAATAAACGAAACGGAAAGAAGGTAGCAAGAAAAATTAATAGAAACGACGAATGGATCGGGTGGACGAGCCGGATCGTTCGAGCAATCCATCAAACCGAACGCGCATCCATTCGTGCGACGAGTTTATCCCTTCAGCGGGCATTCCTGACCCTTCGGTTCGGCCGACGACTCCACCCTCGATGAACACGCTGCAGCATATCCAGCCCCCCTACGCTCGCGTAATCGTCTGCACGATGATACGCCAGAAATTCACCCCGCGTTTATTCCACCGAGGCAAACTTGGTCTCGTCCCTTTCCAGTCCATGTCAACAAGTCAGAGAGAGAGAGAGAAAGAAAGAGAGAGAGAGAGAGAGAAAGAGAAAGAGAGACACGCGGCGAAGCGGAACGCATGCGTTTCCAACCTTTCTACCCTACGCATGTAAGAAAATGTATACGTACTTTGCCTCGCGGTTCTGTGTACCGCGTGTATTTGCGCGAAGACAGATATTTATCGTGAAATAGCTAACCTTGAAATAAATCTTTAGCAATCGGTTACTACTCGCACTGGCCGATGAAAACGAAGCAAATAACGCAAACGCATGATTCCGTACAACGAGGTTCCGTAACTATCGTGGAAATCTTGTTGGACGATTCTCGAATGTAACGAACCCGCGATTATTAACGATGCAAAAAGCGTGAAAACGGTAGGGTTACGGCTACGGAGAAAACGGGGTTTTCAGCTGGCGCAAACGAACGGCACCGAGAGGATTTTGCGCGCGTCATTAGCACAAATGCGTCGCGGTGCATCTTGGTGCAACGTGGTTCACGCGCGTTAAGATGCGTGTGCATTAGAAAAGCGGAGTGGGCCGTGGCTAAACGAGCGCGTGTGCGTGCTGAACTGCGTGTCCTCGGGGCCGGGTTAAATGGACGTGTGCCGCACGAGGAGGGTGCACGAGTGGGGGTAACTACACGCGTGTCGTCGGTTTTGGTTTTAGTTCCGTGGCAGTCGCTGCCGACGACGACGATCTCAAACGGTTGGCGAGCCCCGCTGCTGGTTTCTTCTTTCGTTTCCACCGGCGAACACGCGCGCTACGCGTATATTCTTTTTCTTCTCGTTCCGTTTGCCGATCTTTTGTATCGTTCGTTTTGTCTCGACGGTATTCGCGTTCCGCCAGATTCGCATACCTCTCGTCGACGCGCGTTATCTCCACGTAGCTTGGCTCCACGCTATAGACAACAACATACAAGTGCATGCGACAATTCATTGACATTCTCCGCGAGATACGGTTAACGTATCGAACGTACGACTATTACTCCGCTATTCGACTTTATCTGCAGCGCGTTGTTATTATTCCACGACAGCGGAGAGCAATAATAATCGAAGCGAGTTCAGCCGCCTCAGACGCCAGCTGTATCGAGGCACGCTTCACACAGGAGCACGAAATGCAACGAGAAGAATAAAATACGAATCGAGCCACCTGATCGTGGGTCTAATTTAAAACCGCGCAACGCGGGAAAAAGTGGTAGCCGCCCAAGAATAACGAGCGTGAAACTCGAAGGAAGGAAGAGAGGCATCAGGAAGAAAAAGGAGAGTTGCGGGCTGTTTCGCAGTCGACATCAAAGTTGAAATCTTGCGGGGGCGTTGCGGAAGGACGCAGGAAGAGCTTGCCGCGGAGAATCGAGAGGCTAAAACGCGCGACGAACGACACTCGCATCGAGCTGACGACAAAAAATTTGACAAAGCGAAAGGAATTTAAAGGATAGGAGCGTAGGAGAAAGGGACGATTCGTCCGAAAAGGGACAAAGAGGGAGCCGAGTGTCGGTCAAATGCGAAAAAACGTCGGCTCGTTTTGTTAATCAAAAGATTTCGGTTCGGCACGACGACGTGTTCCGACTAATAACGAGCACGTGTGACCACAACGCCTTGCGTCGATCGGAAAGAGGACCAACCAAGGAGAGAGAAGGGGCGTAGCACGAAAGGAAGTTCGTAGAAAAGGATCTTCGCGCGACGACTTCGACCGTTGCAGCTTCTTCCGCCGCGTCTTTCTTTCAAACAATCAATTCGAGATTGTCCCTTCGAGAGATTCGAAACATTCCGATAAGACGCGACGACGATTCCACGAACGATCGGAATTTTTGTGACACAGTTGCTTATTAAACGAATTGCTTCTTTGATATGACGACAAATCGATCGTCGATAGATCGATCATCGCGGCGACCGAATGCTGTCGAGAATGTATTCCGTGCCGTCGGTTCGGTTCCGATCGATCGAGAGAACAGTGACGTTGTGTAATCGCGGCTCGAATTATCGCGTGAGAGATCGTCGTTGATTCAGCTACCGACGATACACGGAAACAATTGGATCGCGCGCAATCGGATGTCTCGAGAGGTGTTGACCGGACGTGGCTGGTGGGTCGCGCGTCAACTCGAACACCTGATTCTCGGTTACCGGTTCGAGATGCGGCGCACGTCCGGACACGTGTTTCTGACAAGTTTGCTGATACTGCTTCGAGCACGTCGGGCAGACGCAGCTACCGAGAATTCGCCCGAATTCTCGAACAAAGGTACGTTGCATCTTTCCGGATGCTCACTTTCATATTACAAACAAACGGGCATGTTACTAAGTGCTTCGTCTTGAAACGCGAGGCGACTCCGTTTCCATTTGCATTCACCGTGTTAACGCGTTTCACAATAGGAATATTTCTAACGAACGAACGAATTAACGTTTTGCGAGGTTCCCGTAAATGTATACGACTGCTTTGATTCAAATTTGCTCGAACTGCAGGGTAATCGATCGACAGAAAAGCGGTATTACCGCTAAGCGGTTCCAGACTTATTTTGAACCGAACGAACGCTCTGACCTCGACACGATTTTAAATAAGTTAAAAGTTTGGTCACTCCAGCCTATCGGGAACAACCGGAAGAATTCGAATAAACTCGTACGCACGCGGTACAACCATCAAATTTTTGGCATATTTTCCACTTTCGATACACTCGCTTCGAAATAAAAAGGATCGAAGTCATCGACGTTGCTCGCTCTGTTTTCTTTCCCCTTGGCAGGTATTTTGTCCACCTTCGATCGCCCAATGGCTTCCTCTCGTATAGGTACGTTCAAGTATAGAAAAAGAAGAACCACGTCTGCGAACGATACAAAATTTCGAATTACGTTCTTAAGCAAAACTCGTTGTATATTCGAGGCAGCGTTAGACGATATAGCAATCCGATAGAAATAGACCGTCTCCCGTACGATGATACTGGACTTCTCTATTGCTTTAATTTACGAAGACGATTGAGGCTGTCAGACGTATCATCAACGGAAATTCGAAAAATGCGATATACCTTGAAAGAGAAGAAACGAAAAGGGAAGAGAGAACAGGGGCAACGTTTCGTCATCGATGCTTCGATCGGAAAGTAAGAAGCGGGTCCCGGTGAACTTACCGGCGGATATTTTGGGCAAACAGCACGCCTGCTACCAAAGCAAAAGAATTTGCGCGATTTATTTTTGGCGCCGTAAAAAGGCGCCGCTTCATTTTGATCCCTCGCTTCATCCGTCACGGAGCTTCACAGCTCTTCGGAGCGCCGCGGCTAACTTCCGAAATTTATGAAAAGAGCGGAACGCGATGGTGAATCGCGAAAGATCAGGATGCATCGGGGAACACGCGAACATCGAGCGGTATTAGAGTGCCTCGTGCAAGAAGGAATGCGTCCTCGCGAGCGTCGTTTATAGCTTTTAACCGAGCACAGACGGGACAGACTCGGACGACCAGGGAGGACTCAAAGTTCGAAGGAATTCGGGGAGGACCTTCCGACGCGTTTCAAATTCCGGCCTGGCTTAAGATATATAGGTATTGTCCTTGCGGCGAATAACAAATCCGTCGATGATTTCTTCGTTCGAATGAAAATATTTGCGGAAGAAAACGTAAATGAAAGACCTGCCTCTTCGGTGATCCATCATCGCCCCTGTAGGTATCGCGGCGATCTTTACATGTTTGTTTTACGAGCCGCCGCAAAAGCAACGCTTTCCGCGAAACGAAAGCACATCGAGCTTCCGAGCCGCTCTTCGCGCGCC